AAAGTGCTTTGCAGTGCTCTTGGTATGTGGAAATATAATTACACAATGCGATGGTAACATGTTTGCTATAGGAAGCAGCCTTTGTTTCGGCAAGGATAAGAAAACACATGGTCAGCTCATGGTGATTACTGATTACCTATGGACTCAAGCTACAGTCTGGTGTCATGGAGGGTTCTGTTTGACCCTGAGTGCTATCGTTATGAGAATATTTCACACCAAGGCGTTTTTATAAATTTTACAATATAGAATAGAAAAACCGTCTGGACACGGACACTTCCCAGCAGGGGAATCCATAATTACATTTTCTATATCTTCTAATGTAATTAACTTTCTTTATTCATTTGTCTTTCTAAACTTAAAAAAAATCTCTAGATATTTCTCCTTGTTCTTTTTTAGCACCTTGTTAATTTCCCCCTTATTAATTTAATATAAATCATGATAATAAGTTTAAAATATACATGCTATATCATGTGATCTATGCCAATACTGTCCCTGTCTATCCTTTATTTTAGGAATATATGCTTTAGTATATGGAGACCCCATGCTCATGGTGCCTAAAGGGATATTAGCTATACCTCACTGATGATGCCACCTAAAGGCAGAGTGTATCCCCTCTCTGAGCTCGAAAACAAGATTATGGAGGAGTACATTGAGAAATCTCTTAAAAAAGGTTTTATTAGGAGATCCTCCTCTCCGGCAGTCGCTGGCTTCTTCTATATTTCTGAGAAGGAGCGTGATCTGATACTCTGTATCGACTACAGAGGCCTCAATAGGATTATCATGGGCATTTTCCTCGTGTTGGTATACACAAGGATATACCACAACAGCCTCACAAGTTGATCAGGTCAATGTGTATGGCAAAGCGATGTATGACATCATTGCCAATGTAAACCTGATAGCGAGGTTCATCTATCACAAGGAATAAATGTTTAGCCATCTTATTTCCAATGGAAATGGATAGTAAGCATTTTGCTATCACATTGTGACTCTCTGATTCGCTATCCATGTTCTGGATCCACCTGTCATGTGGGGAAGTGTACCTGATCATTTTAGGATTAGCTATTGTGACGAAGTGCCCTTTGCCACTTGTGCCTGGAGAGGACTAATTGCCAGCCACTTGCCTTGTGACTATGGCTCCTGGGAGAGTTTGCCCTTTAAAAACGTTATTTGGGCATATTGGATGTTATTGCACTGTTTCTGCCCCTTTGATTCTATGGGTGAATGTGCCTCTTCCCCTCCCCCTTTTCCTGTTCATTGTTCTCCAGCAGGGCGTTCTCCCAGGGACACTGCCAGACCAGTTTAAACTGGCTGCTATGTCCCTCCTCAATCTCTCATTAGCCCTTGCTAAACTTTAACCCCATGGTGATTTTATTCTGTTTGTGGGATCTGAGCGCTGTTCAGCTATATTAAGCGCTCAGATCCAAGCAATCTGGGGATAGGCTGAATGTGGGGGTTCTGTTCAATATAATAGGAATTATGTATTTTTTATGTATTTTTACTGTTGTTGTAAATGGAGATATTCCCTGTTCCCGGAGATAATTAAGTTACCACACCCACTTAAGCCAATTATCTCCAGGATAGAGGAGAAGATATACCGGCTGCACAGGCTAAATCTGTGGAACAAATAGAACTTCCAACTATCTTTTGAACCACTGGACCAAATTGTATGATTTTTGGATATGTTTGTATACTGATTATGCTGATTCAGAATATGTAATTTTTTAATGGAAATTTCATGTATGGTTTGGAAGTTATGAATATTGTATAAAACTGTATATTTTCCTGCCTGTGATAATTAAGTTAACCCATTGTGTACAGTAATTATATCTCAGGCAGAGGAGAGGGTTTGTGTGCCTTGGCTGGGAGTGTCTGACTGTACTGTTCTGTTTTGATTGGCTGGTGTAACTGCATGTCCTGTATCCCACAAGGTCCACGTGGGTGGTAACCTTGTGGGAAAACCTATATAAACAGTTCTATTCCTGTTTGACCCTCAACACGTAGTCTTATCTCGTGATTGGAGGGGTACTGCTATATTCACACTGGGGATTGCTATGCTCTGCAAACTCCCATGAGCTCTAATCACTTAGCTCTTTTAAGAGCTGTTCTTGATACGCTCTCCTGGAGGAGAGGTCTTCCCCACACAGTCCTGGATGTTGGAGGTTCATACAGGGTGTCCTGTGGTGCTTATGGTCCTCAGCGCAAGCTAGGAAGCGTCCATTAACGGAAGGTACTCGGTCGGAGTACAGGTGATCTGTTACAGCTATCTCCTTTAACAGACTTCTGCTAATATAGCTGTTCTCACTCTTTAAGCCCAGCTTTGCATTCCTACTTCTTCCTAAGTCATTTATTTGAATAGGAAAGAATAAGCTGGTATTAACCCTTTCAATTCCGGCAAGAAATTGAGCATGATCTGCCAGATCAACAAATTCAACATAGTCCCTGTGGAGAGAAATGGTTAAAACATCACCTCCCATAGAGACATGCTGGATTCTCTCTGGAGCAACTCTTACAGACTGTTCTACAGGTGCAATTGCGTCATTCATCTGCAGGATAGTCACGTCAGGTGACTGACTATTCCTAAAATGTACTTCAATAGAGTCAGGTCTTTCTTCTATCACATGCAGTTACGTTCAGATTGAACACGTGATTTCTCATAGGTTATGGGAACCTTAGCTTGTGACCATACAATTCCATTCACACAGTCAATAATTATGTTAAGTCTTCTGAGTATGTTTATACCCAGAATCAGTCGGTCATAGGGCAGACCTACCACTATTTCCGGGTGTCTAAAGGTTTTATTACCTATTTTAAACTTTAACCAGGTATTGCCAATAACATGAAGGGCCTTTCCTCCTAAACTCAACAGAGCATTGGGGAAATCTTTTAGCTTTGGCTTATCCGTTGCTAAGTCCATTACCTGTTGGAAGTAGGTGTTAGATAAGATAGTGGCTTGTGAACCAGTATCTATTTACTTTTGAAAGGAATCCTGTGGGGTAGCGAATCCTGTATTTCTACAGACATGTAGCACCTTTCTTCATGTTCTTCTAATCCACATAAGACTTTAGAATGTGTCAAGACATCACTCGTTTTCCATATGTTACTTGTCACAGCAGTAGTTTCTATCTGTACTATCTCATCAGTTAACCTTTTCAGGTCTGGATCCTGGAAACTAGAGTCTGTTAGGGATACTTTAGCCTTTGGCTGAAATAAAAAAACAGAGGGAAATGTTGCACCTCCTTCACCCGAAAGTGAAGTGACGGGCAGGCAATAGTTGTTCTAGCACAACTATTGTTTGTCTGGCTGTAAGGATCTGGAAAGGAAACAGGGTTGTCATTACATCTATTGACAACCTAGCCTGTTTAGTCACAGTGGCTGTTATTGCGGCGGCACCTGTGATTGTTGTTGCAGTTGAATAGGTGGCTCTACAATTGGAGCTGTCCCTAAAAAAGGATTTCTGGCAAAGACTTGGTTAATCTTTGTCATTTCTTCCATTAATTTGCCCATCTGGTCGGTCAATTGGCCAACCTGACGACGCAATTTATTTCTGCCATTGTCGTTTTGCCCTTGCCCATTAGAATTAGGCTGGGATGGCTGAGACTGTTGGGAGTAATTAGAATCAGATTGGTTGTTTCTGTTTCCATATCTCCTATTTACCTGAGGATTCCTTCTCCATTGGGAATTGCCTTGGTTCTTCTTTTTTTTTTTTTTTAAATTCTTTATTTTTTGTGCATGATAAGATACAGTATAGCCCATGTGGCTACAACAGCCATTCGGGAGTCGTGAATTACTTGTGATAACACAGAGCAGTTAGGCATAGGTCTATCATGTAGTTACAGCATGTGATATCTGCGAATTCTGCACGTTTTTTTTTTATTTAAAGAGTCAACTGGGGTCAAACTAAGGAAACATTTGTGATACCCATTAGGATTGAAACAGGAACCACTAATGCATAGTGATGCAGTGATGTAGGGGGTAGGTAGACATTGTTATTGTCAATGTGTTGTCTGTCGTAAGTTAGCCGTTTGTGTGTGTGTACCCCCTCGTATAGCCCGTAGTAGTGCTGACTATGTGTGGCATTGTCGTCGCTTAGTTGTGATTTCGTCTGTGAGCTGTTATTGTTAAGACTGTGTGGAGTCAGCAAGTCCTCACCGGTTTGCATGTGGGTGTTTGTCACCCTTTGAGCCCTATAGGGTCTTTGTGTTTGTCCGGTAGGTTGAGTGTTGACCTCTTACCGTGGAGGTCACGCAGGGGGGAGGGTTTAACCTCTTAGGAGACTGCGGCGCTCCATGGGAGGCGAGTGCTTCTGTTATAGTGGTGATGCCACCTAGGGCAGGGTCTCCGTACCCAGGTGTGCCTTGTCTAGCGGAGGAACATTAAAGCTTGTGGTGTATATTTAGCTTAACAGTGAAATGGAACGTACAAAGGAAACATAAGAAAATAAACTGTAATAAGATAAGACATTGGATGCTTGCTTCGGTGAGACAGTTCAGGTCTGAGCCCCACGCCTCTCCATGTTCCTGGGGATGAAAGGGGTCGTTCCCTCCAGATCCCAGGCGTGTGATGTCTTGGGGGTCGCCTGTGGTGTGGTTCGTGTGGGGATCCCCAATGCTCGCAGGAATGGTTCGGCCTCTTGTAGCGAATAGAGGTAAAGTCCATTTATAATCAATCTTAGCAGTTGGCTTGTAACCTGGTCCGCCACAGTAGCGTGTTTTGGGTTAAGTCCTGGTAAAAAATAATATGGGATGATTCAAATGCAAGCAGCGTCTTTCCCCTGACTGCCCACGAGGAGCCTGATTTTGTCTGCCACAGAGTGGCATCAGTTGATGACATCTTGATGAGCAGTGGCCTGTGCTTATCTGGCTTTTCGGATCTGAAAGAAGTCATCCAGTGCAAACGTTTTGGCTTGAGCGTGTTGTAGGAGTGTGGCTGTGAGGCGCTTGAGATAGTGTGGCAGTTCAGTCAACACTATCCGGTATCCCCTTATTTTTAAGTTAGCGCGTCTATTGCGGTCCTCTGCCACATCTACTCTTGTGGTGAGTGTGGACTGGGATATGTAGGAAATGTTCCTTTAGCCCCTTTACTTCCTGTTTCAGGTCTAGAATATCCTCTTCTGATGCCTGTGTGCGTGCGTTCACAGCCTGTATTTCTGTCCTCATTCCGTGCCTCATTTCCATTAGCAGGTCGGCTATGTCTTGTTTGGTAGCCGGAGTGAGTTTGTTCCGATTTGCCAGTATCCCCTTGGTTGGTTGTGCAGTAGATAGCTCCTGCTCATCCCCAGGCTGCTCACCTTCATCTTGCGGGACTAGTGTGTGGTCCGGCGAGGCCCCCATCTTGGGCGCCATCGGTTTCTGGAGCCATTCACCTATGTCCTGTGTGTCTCTGCTGGTGGCCTGTGGAGGCCTCTGGGACTGTCGGCCCATGTTGTGCCTGTCCGGTTCCGTGGTTCCAGTCAGCAGATGGGTGTCGTAACGTGTTCCCTGTACCGCAGTCTCTGGTGCAAGCCTCGTGGTTTGGAATTCAATGTAGGCCCCAGTTCTCCGTCGGTTCTTCTTACCCATTTGCGAGAACAAAAAAGGCATCAGCCTGTGGCTTGTCCTCGAGGGGTGCCCAGGAGGGTAGTTAGTGCTTCCGATGGTACAGTGGGGCCTCAGATTGGCACAGATTATGCTTCGATTGTACGGAGCTCTGTAATGTTGCGACCGTTCAGGTCCAGCGCTAGGCTCTGCCCCGCCTTGGTTCTTGTTAAACCAGGGACGTTTATTCCCATTGGCATTGGACCTTTCAGAGGTATTATCAGAGGAATTAACAGCAGGGGCGGGCTGGGCCGGGGGGCAGGGAGGCAATTGCCCCCCCGGCCGCCCTAAATTCCTGTAAGGCCGGCCGCGACGGGCCGGCCCTTTAAATACTGCAGCCGCCCGAGCGCTCTGTTAAGAGCCTCAGGCGGCTGCAACACATATTCTCCCCTCCCCTGTAGCTGGCCGAGCTCCTCTGCTGTCCGCGGTGCCCGGCCGGACTGATAGGAAGGAGTGTGCACTTCCTGTCAGTCCGGCCGGGTACAGGAAACAGAAACTCCGCGCGGAACAGGAGTTTCTGTTTCCTGTCACCGGCCGGACTGACAGGAAGTGCACACTCAGTGTGCACCTTCCTATCACTCCAGCCGGCCGGCCACCGTGGACCGGAGTGCAGCTCGGCCACGCTACAGGGGAGGGGGTAAGAAGAGAGGGAGGAGGGGGGGTAAGAAGAGGGGAGGGGAATAGAGGGGAGGGGGGGAATAAAAAGAAGGGAGGGGGGATAAGAAGAGAGGGAGGAGGGGGAGAGAATAGAGGGAGGAGGGGGAGAGAATAGAGGGGAGGGGGGAATAAAAAGAGAAGAGGGGGGGAATAAAAAGAGGGGAGGGGGGAGAAGA